CCTTTCCAAGGCTTCCTTCTTCTTTCCAGGAGAAGTACTTATTACTGTCACCTTCATGTTCAGGCCTTGGCAACTTGACGGCCACGTTGCCGAGTCCACCCAACCCGACCACACCCAGATGCTGACCCGGATTACACAGTCCATGGAACTTCATCGGGCTATAAACTGTGATTCCGGCGCACAACAGCGGAGCTGCACCATCGAGCGGCAAGCCATTTGGGATTTTGATGGCAAAATGCTCATCAACCACTGTTTTATCAGAATATCCACCTTGAGTCATTGATCCATCATGGTCGTATGCATTATAGGTGAAAATGCTTTTGGGGCAGTAACTTTCCCAGCCCTGATCGCAGTTAGAGCAAGAGCGGCATGAACCACAGAATGGCCCCACGCCAGCAATATCACCAATTTTGAATTTCGTCACATTGCGGCCCACCTTTATCACTTCTCCGATAATCTCGTGCCTAAAGTGGTCCGATTCAGACTAATGGTGTTAAGCTTGAGCTTATACATTTATAGTTGAATGTGAATGGTTTATTTGAAGGGGAAAGACTGATCAAGAGATATATATTACCCGGCAACCATGGGATACATGCTGTTTTGGCCCAGTTCATTCCTGAGCTGATGAACATCACCGTGGCAAATCCCACAATACAGGATTTTTAAGGTGACATCATGATCACCGTTTGCCCTGTATATCAATGAAGACAACAATGTTAAGTCTTGTGTATATAAAAACCGGATGTAGAGTTGCAGTAATTTGAGGCTTTTGTGTGTGTGTGTGTGTGTTGAGAAGAAGAAGAAGATGCCTTCTGGAGAAGTGAAAAGGGGAGACAATTCCTGAGGAGTCTGTGGCAGCTAAGCCAAAGGCAGGTGTTTTCTCATTTTCTTGTGCTGAGATGGTGTTTGCCATATTGCTGGAATGGGTATATGTGGAGAAGTGTGATCTTTGGAGAATGTGACTGTGGCACACTGAAGAAGTTGAGAATATATTTATAGCGTATGATGAAGGAGACAGAGCGGAAACAGTAACGCAGTCTGGTTTGAAAGAACACAAGAATATTCAACTTCTTCTTCTTCTTTTTTGGTACCACAACTTCTTCTTTAAATACACATGTTAGTGTGTGCGGGAGTGAAAGTAAAATTTGGCAGTTACAAATTCACAATTAGTATGTTCGTAATAGATGACGAAAAATGGAGTATATAAAGCTAATTGCCTGCGTCACCAGTTTAATGTGCTCGTTTAATAGTCAGTTAAAAAAGTGTCTTATGTTGAAAAATCGTCATATTCATAATCTGCACTGAATCCGTCCTGCTTTTAAAGCCGCCTTGGGGACCGGTAACTATTTGTTGCATTAGAAGTCAGGTAGTGGCGGATCTAGCAGAGCGTGGCGATGGATTGAACTTTCATGAGATTAAGCAGTCCACGAACAAAAAGAACAGAAGAATATTTAATTAATTTGGTTTGAAAGTGACAGCCTGGCATAAAGTCGTAGTGCAGTCTATATATCACCCTCCTCGTAACATTTTGAACGAATCGTTTGATTTCCTTTGACTTTTCTTTCTTCCTTTTTCTTTTTCGGGCCTGAGCATCGATCTTGGAACGGATGATGTCATCTATATATACTCATAACATCATCCAGTATGTCAGCATAGCATATAGCCTGTCCTCACCTCATTTAGAGGGAGCGTGAAAATGCCAAGTCTTTGTCAATTTGGTATTTTGTTCTTGTGAAAGCTGAAAGGTATGCAAGGAGGAAAAAAAATCTATAACTTGCGGGTAAAGACAGTACATAATATGTATATATAGGACTTTCATCAACACATCACTTCATTCCACAACGCAAGTATCTGTTTATCCAACCCCTAGATATAACCTAATATTTCACTCCGATACAGAAGAGCACATCCATGTCGAACGTTATGGCTGCAGAAGAAAAGGGAAAAGTAGAGGCCTATGGATGGGCAGCTAGAGACGCCTCAGGAATCCTCTCACCCTTTCACTTTACTAGAAGGTAAGAGCATGTGTTCTTCAGATTGAATCGCCATCTTCGCCTATCAAAACCTTCATGCATGCATCAGTACTGAATAATTTTCTTGCTGCTCAACGAACAACAGGGCAAATGGCGAAAATGACATCACCGTCAAGATTCTCTATTGTGGGATTTGCCATAGCGACCTTCATTTTCTCAAGGATGACTTCGGCATGACCCTGTATCCTGTTGTTCCCGGGTACTCCACCAGCTCTCATATCTTTGCTACTTGTTCATTTTTGAGTTTTATATAACTATACTCCTTAATTTCTAACGTCTATATGCTGCATATTATCTCTTTCTTTGGTTCAAGTTCAGGCACGAGATCGTGGGCGAAGTGACAAAAGTGGGTCGTGGTGTCTCAAAATTTAGGGTGGGTGACATAGCTGGTGTGCCTGGCCTATGTGGCTCGTGTGGGTCGTGCTCTGAGTGCAACCAGGGTCTTGAAGTGTATTGCCCAAAAATGATATTAACCTTCAGTGCACGAGACCATGACGGATCAGTAACCCAAGGCGGCTACTCCGATAAGATTGTGGTGGACGAGCACTTTGCCGTGGTGATTCCAAGAACTCTGCCACTGGACGGAGCTGCCCCGTTGCTGTGTGCTGGAATCTCAGTATACAGCCCCATGACGAGCCATGGACTGGCTCGTCCTGGTTTGCATTTGGGCGTGGTAGGGCTTGGGGGGCTCGGCCACGTGGCAGTCAAGTTCGCCAAAGCTTTTGAAATGAAAGTGACGGTGATAAGTACTTCTCCCAGCAAGAAGAAGGAAGCATTGGAACGTCTTGGTGCCGATGCCTTCTTAATCAGCAAAGACCAACAACAATTGCAGGTAAAACTAATTAATATATCAAACAACTAGCCACGTCGATTAATTTATCAGCAATTAAAATGCATTATTTATATGTTTGGTTGGGGCTGTACGTATGTAGGATGCTGTGGGCACGATGGACGGAATAATCGACACAGTTTCGGGGCCTCACTCGATCTCGCCATTGATCGGTTTGCTGAAGACTCATGGAAAGTTGATTCTGGTGGGCGCACCATCGACGCCACTCGAGTTCTCGGCCATGTCTTTACTTATAGGTAAGTACAGTAGAAGGTTAAGGAAGAAGGTGTTTGATTAGAGTGAAAATAATGAATGAATGCAATTTGGTGACGTTTATGGATGTAGGGGGGAAGACAATTACAGGGAGCGCGGGAGGAGGGATGAAGGTGGTGCAAGAGATGGTGGATTTTGCAGCGAAGCACAGGATCAGTGCCGAAGTAGAGGTGATACCGATGGAGTATGTGAACACAGCCTTAGAGCGACTCGCAAACAATGATGTCAAGTACCGTTTCGTCATCGACGTCGCAAATACCATCAACTCTCCCGCCATGGCTGCACATTGATGCACGCCGCCATTGTTTTACTATACTTTTGTATAGCAGTTTTAGAACTCAGGGCTCTGTTCTTCTATCTTGTATTCACCTAATAAACAACGTCATCCTTCATATTTTAGGGTTGTGTTTTTCTTGGCCTGAGGGGTTGTGTTGCCTTTCTGTATCTTTGAAAACATCCTCTTCCACACGTCACGCCAAACGCGGGCAGAGGTTGGTGGGTCGGATTCGTTTAATTGCAAAATACTTGGAGAGGTTAAAAAAAATTAAATAAATTATTTTAAAATATTATTATTATTATTTTCAAACTGATTTGCCTAGTTTATAAACCGATAATTAATATAATGATACACATAAATATTTTAAAAAGATTATATAATATATGCTATATTTAAATAATCTTTTAATTTTTTTAATTTTTTTGAATTAATCAAATGGTTTTATATTAAGTACAAGAGATAATGGTAAATAGTGAAGTGAGGGGGGAAGGAAGATTAATTATTAAATTAATTAATGCAGCAGTTAATTGGGCAACCAACGCATGTAACTCTCTCCAGTCCGTAGTCTTTCCTAATAGCACTGTGAATTCAGCTTGCTGACTTCCTAGCCCGTCTCCCCATTTCAAATCAAAAGGTTCAAGCCCGATTTCAGTGTTGGGCCGTCCAATTTGATGGCCCATCTTGCTCATTCCATTACGGCCTTTTCTCAGGCTCTTTGATGGGGCATATTAGTTATTATTATTATTACTCCACGAATAAATGGATTCTTTCTTTTGGCTCCAAGTGCTTGATCGGGGACAAGACTCGCATGCATATGGCGATGCAGACACCTGCAAAGAAACCATCCATTCTTTCCTGTTATTTCGGGGACCTTCTAAAGGTTCAGCGAAAGTGATCGGAGCAGAAAGGGACAAGAAAGTCGGTTAGCACCGCATATTCTCCGATTCAATTTTCTTCTTTTGGCCCCACAAAGACTTCCCTCCTCCTTTTCTATTCTAGAAAAAGGCCTTTTTCCGTTTTACAGGGATTTAAATCATCGTTCAACTAGAACGTGGCATTAACGGGAGAAACTCTTGATAGCCAACATCATATATGGTTGTCCAATATACTGACCAACTACAAAATATTGCTACCCCGAATCCAGAATCACTCTAAACCACACAAACCAAATGGGCAGTATAGTAATGTCAAGCCCAAAACTAACCCACTCTTAATTGCTCATACTCCCCTGACCCCTCCCTTTATTCCCAGAAATCTGGATGGTGCAAAACTAAGCGCTTGGCTTCAGTGTTTCTCCAATGTTAATGACAAATCGATACTTGACATCTGCTTTCGCGAGACGCTCCATTGCCTCGTTCACATAGTCAATTGGAACCACCTCTATTTCTGGCTTAACATTGTGCTTAGCAGCAAAATCAACCATTTCTTGTGTCTCCTTCATTCCTCCAAAGGCACTCCCAGCCACCAACTTTCTCCCTGCACAGAAGTGACCAATAATACTAGTTAGAATCATTTTCCTATTTCAATCATGGACTGGCTTCTCCATGATGCTTATTAAACATGAGGTTATTAACATAAGCCGCGTGAAAATGAGAAGATGGACTTTTCATGTGCATACCCAAAAGTAAAGGAAAGACTGGGAGTTCAAGAGGCTTCTCTGGGGCACCGACCATAACGAGTTTCCCGTGAGATTTCAACAGACCAATCAAAGGCAAGAGAGGATGGACAGCAGAAACAGTGTCAATGATACCATCAAAGGTACCCATTACAGCCTACATTAATCAGAATAATATCAGAAGCTGATCGTGACAAATTATCAGATGCAGGCACAACAATATATTCAAGCTAGAGAAACAAATTCTGACAGGTACCTGCATCTGATCTTGCTCCCGGCTGACCACAAAGGAGTCAGCTCCCAGATTTTTTAATGCTTCCTCCTTCTTATTAGGTGATGTACTTATTACTGTCACCTTAGCACCGAAGGCCTTGGCAAACTTCACAGCCAAATGGCCTAAACCACCAAGACCAACCACACCGATATGCAGACCAGGCTTGTCCAGTCCAAAATACTTCAAAGGACTATACACAGTGATCCCAGCACAAAGCAGAGGAGCGGCGGCATCAAGAGGAAGGCTGTCTGGAATGCGAACCACAAAGTGCTCATCTGCAACCATCGAGTCAGAGTAGCCACCATATGTGATGGTATCATCCACATACTTGGCGGCATATGTGAGGATCATTTTTGGGCAGTAATTTTCAAGATTTTCAGTACAGCTTTGGCATGAGCCGCATGAACCAACCATGCATCCCACACCTACCCTGTCCCCAACTTTGAACTTCTCAACCTTGCTTCCCACCTCTGTTACTTCACCAACAATTTCATGCCTGAATTTGATAGACGAGTAAGAATCATATGCCGCTATTATCAACCAGTACACTAGGGATGGAGATTGCACAAATCATCAGAATCTTTTAAAGCAGTATCAAGCCGAGAAAAGATGATAAAATGAAGCAAATTAATAATCCCATCAATAGGCTAAAATAACAGTGATTGCCGATCTAGTTTTATAATATATCGATTGACAATTAGCCTCTATATACCTCTAACGCATCTTTAACAACTTTATAACGACAGATAAAGCACATCGGTGACCAAACTACAGGACTTAAATAGAGTATTCAGATCCTCATTGAGACAGCATTTTCAAATAAGAAAACAGAACGTTTTACGAAACAGAGGTGTTCCGATTCCCTGCTAGCATCGAAACAGTAATTTTTTTAAAAAAAAAATTAACCCCAAAACAAAATATTACGAAGGCTGACTATGCCACAATATCAGTCATGTTTGTCGATGAAAGATTTTGGCAAGAGTCGATACAGCAAGCCTTGCATATGTCAGATTCATAACCTGTGCCAGCGCTATTTTCTTGATTCTCAATGAAGAGGATGAAAGACACAAAAAATTCCTTACCGACTTCTCCGGTCAAATTTGTTTATAAATTATTCTTCTGTTGGCGACCAGACAATATCCAATCAAACTAATTACATTAAAATATAGTCCGTCATCTTTTTTAGCTATTAAAATAATCAAACATGCATGGAAAGCAAATCATAACTATACAGGACCACAACCATAAGCCGCAACAACACTTAAAAAAAATAATTCCGACGCGGGCCGAAAGATACCCGGGTACAAGTGGATAGATGGAATTGCCCCACTCGTTCTTTATCATGTGGAGGTCCGAGTGGCAAATCCCGCAGTACAACACTTTGAACCTCACATCTTTCTCTCCTGTTTCCCTGCAAAAACAATCCAGTACCCGATTTATGTTAATCAGAAAAGCACCGAGCTACATTTTGTATTTAACATCCATGACAAGAGCCAACGGTCCCTAATTTTCAAAGGATCTGGTCCATCTTGATCTTATATCGTCCAAAAGAGGGGGAAATGAAAGATATGAAGAATCCTTGTAAGAGCACCCATATTCTACAGAAACCAAAAGAATCAAGAGGAATGCGGCATGGAATGACTAGAATGCAAATACAGGAAAGCGAGGGAGAAAAGGAGGCCAGGAACCTTCTAGAGAACTTGAAGGGAGAGAGAACCCCGGACGTATCCCGAGCAGCCCATCCAAAAGCCTTCCGTGGATGCTCCGTCTCCGGCTGTGCAGCCATTTGAATCTGGTGGAAGTGACTCACAAGAAAATGGAATGTAAGAATGGAGGGACTGAGCACAAATGATGCAGAGAGCGCAGTACGTTTCGCAAGAGAGCCGGGATGCATCCGCCTTTTATTAGGTCTCGCCTTTGATTAGTTTAAGAATTACTATTATTATAATGATTATTTTGAAAAAAGATAAATATAAAAGATAAAATAAATTAAGGTATTATATTTAAGATAAATAAAAATCAAACGAGTTCTTCTATTAAAAATTAGATTTAGTAAAATGATACAACATATTTTTAAAATTTATCCTTATTAAATTTCTTCTATCTTTATTTTTCCAAATCAAAAATTAAAAAAATATCATTAAATACCTCTCGAATGATCGAATTATATTTAGATGTCAAAGATTTTTAACTTTCACAGGAAAATCATCATTTGAAACAAATGGATTATGCAGGTGAAAAAGTACCCCTTCTGATCCTTTTTATCAGATTCTTTTGATTAAATTATGCGGTTAGCAAAAAGAAAGCCCCTTCTAGTCCTTTTTAGTTTTTATAAGATTCTTTTAGTTAAATTACATGGTTTACAAAGACATTTTAAACTAGTTAAAAACAATAAATATGTAAAAATTTAACCTTTTTTAAGTGTATTCTTATTTAATAGAAAAACAAATAAAAGAGAAAAATACAAGTAAAAAGATAAAAATATAGAATAGGAGAGAACGTGGCATAAAAAAAAGATGAGGAGAGATAATAAAAAATTAATTAGGGGTAAAATGATAAAAACATATTTAGTGTTCAAACACCTCTAAACAACATCTTCTAAAAAGAGTCAAATTAATTCAAAATTTGGATTCTTATAAAAAATGCTAATAGGATCTTATTACAATAATCACAGGAAGGAATACTTTATATTTGGGGGGGGGGGGGGCTTCAGTACTGAATGTCCGGTTCAAACTAGGGGTCATAATTTTGCGTATTCACATGAAATTGTGGCAAAAATAAAAAAGAGAGATGAAATTGTGGGAACAGAGATAAATTCAATATTTCAAGGTGGTTTTTGCATGGAAGGCGGGTGGGCGGGCTCAAATTCGGGAGAAATCATTTTCAGTGCAAATATTTTAAAACGAGGATATTTTATTTTTTGGCACATGGAAAACATTAATAAGTAGCTCCAAAAAACAAAAGGCTAGAATAAATTGGGTGATTAAGGGAGATAGAAACACCATTTTTTTTTTTTCATAATTTGGTTAAAAGGAGGCATTCCTGTTTCACATTTACAAAATTAAAGACTGAGGACGGTGAATGGATTCAGGGGGTTGATGAGATTAAAAGATTCACAATTTCATATTTCTTTTTTTTTTTGGCCAAAAAAGTCAATATTATTAATCACTCAAAGAAAGATACAAACACCAATAGCCC